TGTCACAGCCCCCCCGGGGACACCCCACTCCTCTGTCCCCACGTGCAGGGAGGGACAGCACACACCTGGTAGGGCGTCCCCGAGCCCGGAGCTGCCACCGCGGCTCGCCCACACCCCATTCCTTGACCATCCACCCGAAAACAACCATCCTGCTGCCAAGGCAGCCGCCCGCCCCGCTGCCCACCCTGCCCGGCTCAGCCGAGCAGATCCACCACACCTCAACCCCCTCCCCGTCCCAAATCCCGGCAGCCGGAGCCGCGGATCTGGGGGAGCACCAGCCCCCCGCCCGCCCCGGGGGCTGCCGCTCCCTGCGGAGCCGCCTTCGCCGCAGACAAAGGGAGCCGGGGGGGAATCCAGCCGCGAGGATGGGTTTTAGCCTAATCCCGGGAATTAAAACGAAGAAAAGCAAAAGTGGGGCGCCGGAGCCGGGAGGGGGGGGTAAAGGGGGGGCAGCGGGGCAGGGCACGGCGGCAGCACCGCGAGGCCAACGCTGCCCGAGGCCGGAGCGCTGCCCACGGGGGCGGCGTGGGTGCCCCACTGGGGTGGGGTCCCACGGGGGGCGCCCCCCGGGCTCTCAGCACCCTCCCGGCTCCGGGCAGGCGCTCCCTCCTGGCAGCCACCGCGCCACGAAGCCATTTTGAGCCGGCGGCGAGACGGGAGGGTTACGGCCCCAACCCCTCCTTCCCTGCCCGCCGGCGGGTCCGTCGGGATAAACAACAGCCAGGCCGGGGGGATCCGCGCCGCGAGGGGCGAGGAATCCCGCGAGCGAGGCAGCGCAAAGCAGGGCAGCGCTGCGTGGGGGGGGCCGCCAGGACTTACGTGCTCATCCCACATCAGGGAGGGGCTGGGATCCCGCTGGGAATCGGGGTGCCCTGGGGACCCCTCGCTCCGAGCATCATCCCCGCCTGCCGTGGGCTGTGGGTGCCGGTGGAGGGAGGCGGGAGGGGGGTCGGGCAGCGCTGCCGGGCCCTCCCAGCCCTGCCCGGTGCCGGCAGGCACATGCCAACCTGCTGCCGCTCCCGGCCTAAAATTACCACGGCCCCTTCCAAAGGCGTCGCCGCCAATCAGGGCGGCAGGGAAGGCGTGCGGGCGGCTCGGGAGCTCCTCTGCATTGCAGCTGGATGTGGGAGAGGGCTTTTTTTTTTTTTTTTTTTTTTCCAGCGGGCAAGCTGGAGCCCTGAGGTACAGCAGGTGGGCGAGAGGGGGTGGTCTCCGGACAGTCGCAGCCCCCGGGGGATGCTGGACCCGAGGGTGTTTCAGTGCACCACGTGCAGCCCCCGCGGTGGCTTCACCGCTCCGGTGGGGCGGGTGACATCCCGGGGGTCCCGTGGGGCTGGTGATGGTGGGTGCTCACCCACCTCTGTGGCCCCCCCAGGCTGTGACCGACCCCCCCCGTGCTGCCTCTCCCGGCCGCGGGCCCTTCCCGGGTCGGGTCGGGAGGGGAGGATTTTGCAGCACGCGGCCCCCAACGTGCAGCCAGAGCTCGCTGGGAGCTGGGGACGTGTCGTGCCCAACGTGGTGGCTCTGCCCCGGTCCCCGGGGCTGCCCCTGCCCCGGGGAGGGTCGAGGGTTGGGGGGTACCCCCGAGGCATCAAATCCTGCTCTCAGACCTGGGGTGAGCCGGAGGGATGGGGCGGGAGGGGGGAAACACGAGGCAGAGCCCGAGGGGCTGCAGGGAGGGAGCTGGACCCCTCAGCTGAGGAGGGGAGGGAATGCTCAGAGGGGGAGAATCTCCACCCCAGGGACCCTCTTGTCCACGCGGAGCCACGGAACGGGGGACCAAGAGCACCCCAGCCCCGGATGGGCACCAGGGAGGGACACCGTGGCACAGCGACCAGGACGGCGCCGGCTGGTGAATGATGGGATGGGAGAGACAGAGGGAACAACCCCCCACCCCACGAGGTTTTTCCACACCCCACAGCAGACACTCCACGGCGGCTCCAGCCCCTTCCCCGAGCAGAAAGCCCTTCCCCAAGCCAGGCTGCTCCCAGCAGGTGGGGTGAGACCCACCCCGGGCTGTGACAGAAACCTGTGGCAGAGCAGGGACCGCGTCCCCCCGGCCACCTGGGCTGGGTGGAGCACATGGGCGAGGCTGGGGGGGTCCCAGGTGGGCGATCTGGGGGCAGCCCGTGGGTGATGCCGGGCGTGCCGGGTGGGTGGTGCCGCGGTGGGACACAGGTGATGCCGGGCCAGCAGGTGGGAAGCCCGGAGGGGCCGGGGGGTGATGGTGGGGCCCTGGGGAAGGTGGGTGGGGACGCGGGAAGGCAAAAAGCAGCAGGTGGGGAGCGCAGGGCTGGCAAGTGGGGTCTCCCCGGCAGCAGGTGAAGTCCCGAGGGGGTGCCCCGGTAGCCTCAGACCCCCGGAACGGCGCCGCGCCCGTGGGTGCTGGACCCGTCCCGTCCCGCCGCGGCGGTCCCGGTTCTAATCCCCGATCCCTCTCCCGCTCCTACCTGCTCCATGGGGCCGCTCAGGGCGCGGGCGCGGCGGTCCGGCCGCGGGCCATGGGTCGGTGGCGGTGCCGGTGGCGGAGCCGGTGCGGCCCCGCTGCCGCCGCCTCTCGCCGCCGCCGCCCACGCCCGGCGCCGCCCGGCGCATCCCGGGAGCGGCGTCATGTGAGCGGCGGCAGCGGAGGCTCCCGGCCCCACCCGGACCCCGCCGCCGCCCTGCCCTCCGCCCGACCCCCGGGACCCCGCCGTCCTGATCCCGCTCCTTCCCTCCTCCTTCATCCCTCCATCCTCCCTCCGTCCTTCCCTGTCTCTCCATCCCTGCATCCCAGCCCTGCATCCCATCCCAACTGCCCCTCGCACCCAGTTCCACTCCAGATCCTCCTTCCATCCCTCCGTCTTTCCACCCCTTCTCATCCCTTCATCCATCCATCCCTCCATCCTCCATCTTTCCATCCACCCCCATTCATGCTTCCTTTCTCCTGCCCATCCACACATCCTCTGCCCCTCCAGCTCCCCATCCCTCCCTCCATCCCTCCATCCCCTGTCCCCCCAACCCTTACCCATCTGCCTGTCTATCCACACCCCCCACCCTCCATCCATCCCCTCACCCATTTCCCTTCTCCAGGAGGCTCCAGCTCCAGGGGCAGTGGCTGTGCCCAGGGTCAGGGTGGCACCGGCTGCCCCCCTGCAGGCAGCGGGTTCGTGGCCCCTGGCCCGGCCACAGCCTTTCCCATGGCAGCAGCCAAGCCCTCCAGCCTGGGTAAATATTAGCTTGGAGCAGTGCTGGTGCCAGCCCAGCGTGGCCCGGTGACCCCTGGGGCACTGCCAGCGCCCGGCGTGCCTTGGCCAGGGGCACCCGGCCCTGGGCCTGCCCTCGGATCCCTGGGAATGGCCCCACACTCGGCCTCGGCTTCCTTGGGATGGCCCTGTGCTCTGCCTCAGTTTCCCTGCACACTTCCAGCCTGTGCCTCAGTGTCCCTCGTTCCCACACCGGGATGAGCAGGGATGAGGATGAGCCAAACACCCACCCCGACCCCTCAGCAAGATGCAGCCCCAAACTGGGGGGCTGGGGCACCTCTGGCTCAGTCCAGCCTCGTGGCTCAGCTGCCCAGGGATGGGATTTGGGGATGGGCAGTGCTGTGGGGACACCCCAAAGGCTGGTTCTGGCTGGGATCCCTTCCAGGCTCGGGGCTGGCACAGGGTGGGCATCATCTGGAGACACCCCTGTATCCCCCCACCTCCCTGCACCCCGTGGGGACCCATCAGGGCTGGGGGTGCAGCTGGGGGTCCCGAGGGCCTCACGGTGCAGCAGCATCCCCGGGGGTTGGGGTTGGGGGAAGCCGGAGCGGGAAGAAAGCGGCTTTTGTCCAGGGGCTCTGAACCTCGCGGGGGCCGGGGGGAAATTTGCTGCTTTTCTGATGCTAATGAGATGTTAAAAATAAGCTGCAGCGCGGCGCAGCCATGTTGGGGCTCTTCCAGGGCCGCCCGGAGGCGGGCGGACAAAGCGGCTTTATGGGGTTGCGGGGGGCAGCGAGGGGGTGCCCCGGCCCTGCCCCCGGGCACGCCGCTCCCCAGGGCCCCCTCCTCGTCCGGGGCTCATCCCGGGGTGCAGCACCCCCTGTGCCCGCAGCTCCTGCCACGCGGCGCTGGGAGAACCCCGAACCCGCCCCGCTCCCCTCTCCCACCCGAGCATCCCACCCGTGGGGTGCTGGCTGGGGGGGGCAGGCCCCGCTTCATTTCGGCTCCCACCAGCCGAGGAAAAAAAAAAAATCCAAGGGGAGGCTCCAGATGTCGGATCCCGCCTGGAGTGTCCGTCTGGCCCTGTCAAAGGCGCCTTTGTCCCCGCACAGAGCCCTGACCCGGGGACTGTCCCCACGGGGGGGGGGAGACACACAGGGACAGCCCCCCCGTGCCAACCCCGAAAGCTCCCGGCCGCCCCAGGGATGGAGAGGGAAGAGGAGGAGGAGGAGGGATGGAGAGGGAAGAGGAGGAGGAGGGATGAAGGCTCCCCAGGGCTGGCAGCCCCTCCCCAGCCCCATTCTGTCGCTCCGCTGCCTTTGATCTGCCAAACTCGGGGGCGTTCAAAGCGCCGCCGTGCAGGATTTTGGGGGCGGGGAGGGGGGATCTTGGGGGGCGGTGGGTGGATCTGGGCGTCTCCAGCCCTTGGGTCCTCATCCCATCCCTCGGGAATGCCGGCACTGGGAGCACCCCACTTTCTTTCTGGGCACTGGGAGCAGCCCAGGGGGGCCACCCCACGGCTCCCCCTGAATTTTGGGGGGCACTGAGAGCACACAGAGCTCCCCCCAACATATTTCTGGGCACCAGAAGCACCCCAGGAAAGGCCTCCAGAACCTGGGGCACTGGGATGTCCCAAAGGGGACCCTGGGGTGGGGAGAGGGGGGGGTCACTGGCTCAGGATCCACCACACATCAAACACCCAACAATTTCCAATTCTTTTATTTCAAACCCCTCTCTCTTCCCACTCCCCCCCCCAGCCAAAAATAAAATTCCAAAATTAAAACCCCAAACAAAACCCCCCCAAAAAAACCCCAAACCCATCAGTCAAAACGACGCTAGAAATGAGTTACAAACACCGAGTCAGCTCTCCCTCACTGACCACTCAGGAAAAAGAAAACACCCCAAAAATCCCCCAAATCCAGGAATTCCACACCAGCTTCCCCCCAAAAGGACCTGCAGCAGTTACTACCATCCCCCACGAGAGGCCAAACATGCCTATTAATACAATATATACAGACAAACCCACAGGTACAGCCAGGCCCCCCCCTCCCCGCCCCCAAAAATAACCAAACACACCCAAAAGTGCATGTGTGGTTTATATCAAAAAATGTTATTTTTCTTTTCTCTCTCTCTTTTTTTTTTTTTTTTACTTTTTTTTTTTTTTATCTGAAAGATTGGCCTGCAAGTCTGTTTGGTTTTCTTTTTTTTTTTTTTTTAAAACCATTTAGTAACTTTTTAATATAGTTTACGAAAATAAATTATACAGCAACTATTTTTAATAAATTAAGCACACACCAAAACAAAACAAAAAAATTAAAAATAAAATTAAAAAGGGGAGGGGGGGAAAATAAAGATAAAATTAAGCAAAGCTGCATTTTTTGTTGTTGTTGTTCTACCCAAGGGTGGTTCCACAGTCCTGGTGAGGTCCTGCCCTTGGAGCTGCCAAAATCTGCTCATTCCTTCTCTAAAGGCAAGGCTGGATCCAGTGTAAGCCATATATTTTTTTTTGTTTTTTGGAGTGAAGCCCTGGATGGGGTGTGGGGAGCACTGGGAGCTGCCCAGTGTGTTACTGGGCACCAGTTGTGCTTGTTCAGCTGGAGGCACAGTTGGAGGCAGCGCTGCCAGGAGCCCCCCCCGATCCCAAGGGATGTTTTGGGAAGGGGGTTCCCGCCTGCCCCATCTCACCTGGAAGACTCTGGATGAGGAGTGAGGGGCTGCTGGGACAGTGTGGATGAATCCCTCCACTCCCAAAGCCAGAGAGGTTGGAAAAGTGGATAAATCCCTCTGTCCCCAAAGAGCCAAAGAGGGTTTGGAAAGGTGGATAAATCCCTGTATCCCCAAAAAACAAGGAGGGCTTGGGAAGGTGGATAAATCCCTCCATCCCCAAAAGCCAAGGGGAGTGGGAAGGTATCCAGGTCCCCCCCCCAAGCCCTCAGCCCTGATGGTCAATTTGAAGGGTAAAATCATCCCAAGGACACATTTTAACTGCAAGGAATGAAGGAAAACAGCCAGTTCCCTTCCCCCTGGAAGCAGGAAGGCCCTTCCTTCAGCAAATCCTACTTTTCAGAGGTTTTCTCCCCAAAACACTCCCTGGACTTGAGCCCCAAACATCACCTGCAGCACAGCCCCACAGGTCACTCTTAAAACCGCTTTCAGGGTTTAAAAAATGCATTTAAGGGATTAAAATCTGGCCAGATGTGGCAACACCACACCTGGAGTTCCCAAATCCATCCATTCCCAACCACAGGAACAGCCCAGGTTGGTTCCCATATGGGGCCACCCTGCAAATCCAGCTGCAAAGCTCAACCCACCTCAAGCCAGGGATGAATTTTTCCACCCTTTTTTCCCCATTTTTGGCCCCAAGGAGGTGGATGCTGAGCTGGAAACTCCCATGGACTTCCCCTGGTTTATCCCAGTTTCTCGCTGGAAGGTCATTCCCTCCCTTGAAACAGGGAGGTGTTGGGAGAGGAGGGGGAACCTGAGCAGGAGCAGCACAGGGCTGAGGGCTGTCCCCTTCCAGCTGGAAAAGCACAGAAAGGAGCTTTTCCAGGGCCACTTTCCGTGCTCTGGTGGTTTTTATGGTCCATTTCCCAGCTCATCCGGCTCCGGTCCCTGACGGAGGGAGCAGGACCAGCACCACCCCTGCACAGATTCAAGGTTGGACAGAGGTGGAGATAAAGAATATTTGTCCCCAGATCAGCAGGATGGGAGCAGCCTCCAGAGCCAGCCTGCAGGACATTCCAGGTGGGATGATACAGCACCAGGGGGGCCATTCCCCAAACTGGGATTGACTGGGAAGGCAGGGCCCAGGCAGCCCTTGGAGATGTTCCCCACGTCCACAGAGCTCACCCCTCACTTCCAGCCCCAGATCAGAACCTCTGGCTCATTCCCAGCCCCACCCACGGATCAAATCCCTCGCTCCCCTCACACCTCCAGGTGCAGGAACAGCTTTATTTTCCATGGATTTCAGGAGAAGGCTCTTAACTACAGTTAACCTTGGGATCTCAGCCAGGCTGGGGCTGGCACTGACCTGCTCCAGCTTTCCTGCCTGGCTCGGAGCAAGGAGAGGAGGAGCAGAGCCCTGGGAATGCTGAGGAGCATCTGCCACCTCCATGGATCCTCGGGAGGGGTCTCATCCCTATCCCACCCCCACCCCCCATCCCCTATCCAACACCTCCCAGCACATCTCCTATGTCATTTCAGACCCAAAACCTTCCTGCTGGCCCGAATTTGGGAAGAGCTGCCCCCACCCTGCCGTGCTCAGGGTTCAGGTAACAGCAGGAGCACCACCAGGCTGTTGGGATAAATCCTGCATGGACACCAACAGCCGACCAGAAACATGGAATTCAAGTATTGTCCCTGAAGTCTGGCTGCTTCAACGGCTCTGAAAGGAGTGGAACCACCTCCTCCTCCCTCAGGAGGAGCTCTGGGGGGGACACAGGGATGGGGGGCTGCAGGAAATCTCTCCTGACCCACCAGGGTTGTGCGTTTTCACCCCAAAACAAGCCCAGCACCCACTCCCAGTGCCCCTCCAGCACCACCTTTCCCTGCTCTGCCCTCCAGGGCAGCTCCTTCCCCCTTCCCAAACCCAGCCTGCACCTCTCCATCCCAGAGCAGGGAAGGAAGGAGTGGGAATGCTGTCACTGCCATGCTGCAGGGAGGATGAGCTTCTTCCCAGCTTGGGCAGGGGAGACTCCCAGCTTCCCTGTTCCGTGCATCCCACCATCCCTCCCTGATCCACACACACCAGCCATGCCACGGATCCTGCTCCCAGGGTCCATTTTTGGGAGAAGCCTGGCAGGACACACCGGGCACGGACCCTCCAGGCCTGGCTCTTGGGCACAGTCAGGATGGAGCAGCGTCCCATGAGGTATTTCTGTGGATTTGGAAGCTCAGTTTCATCTGGAAGCCAAATCCTCTCTTTGCAGAGCTCGGTTTTCCTCCCAGGCCGGAGGGGAAGGGCAGGAGGGGGAGGGCAGGGTTTGTAGCACCTTGGGGGCAGCGTTTCCAGCCTGCCTGAAAACCCAGCATGAATCCTGCCGAATTCAGGGACGTGGATCAATCCTGCAGGGAGAGCCCGAGGTCCTGGCAGCTCACAGGGCACTCACAGGGCACCCACCTGGATCCTGGCAGGACGGAGCGATTCCCTGGATTGAGAGCGCGGGAATTTGCTCCTCTAAATACAGGGATGAAGAGGCTCCTCCAGAATTCCCAGCATCACTTGGAACCCCACCAAGAAGTTCCTGTTCAGTGGCTGAAGCAGCAGACCAGGATTTGAAGGGGGAAGGGGGTTATTTGTGCCCAAAACCATGGAAAGAGCCACCATCTCTCCTGGCTTTGCCGTGGATCCACGGATGTCCCAGGGAGAGAAGGGAGCTCCCAGAGATCAGATGCTGCTCCAGAGAATCCTCAGGGATCTGCTCCTTGCTCTGAGTCACCCCAGCAGCTGCTCCTCAGGACCCTTCGCAGCTCCAAAGGGAGCCACTTCATTCCCAGCTTCTGGAATCGGCCAGAGAGGGGCTGGAGTGACACATCCCATGGCTCTGCAGGAAGTACCTTTGGTCCACACACAGCTCCAACAGTTCCAGCTTCTCCACCTTCCTTCCACTTCCCGGGGGGCTTCAGGGGGCTCTTCCAGTGTTTGCTCAGGGAATGGCGCTTCCTCAGGGGAGCGGCACCAACCCTTCCCTCGGGATCCACGGCATCCCCGTGGCTCGCCCACTCCTCCTTCCTCGGGTCCAACCTCCCACGGCACCGTCCCGCAAATCCAGCTGCAAAGCTCAGCTTCCCAAGGCTGGGCTCGGCTCCCAAATCCCGGGAAGCAGGGGGAGCTGAGCTGCCCAGAGCTCCAGAGGTTATTCCAGCTTCCCAGAGGTTATTTCCCGGAGCTGTGAATCCTCCTGGTTCAGGGTGCCTCCAGCTGCATCCCCCTCTCCGTGGGGACCAAAGGGCAGTCTTTGCCCACGATGCCCTTGGAGCAGATGGATCTTCCAGAGAGTGTCCCCTCCTCCCTCCAGCCCTGCCCACCTGGAGGTTTTCCAAGGCAGGGCCACCACGCAGTCACTTCTCATGCTGAAAACCAAAGACTGAACGACATCAAAAAATAAAATAAAATAAAAAAACCAACTGTCCCAAACTTGTAAATAGTGCCATGACATTCCTTGTTCTGCCAGGAGGCCGGGGCCGGGCTCGGCTGCCTCCAAGACGCCTTTTCCCAGGAGCCAAGGCTCTGGATCCTGCTCTGCTGGGCTTCTTGGGAATCTTGGCCCCTCTTCTCTGTACAAAAGAGCTGCAGAGCAGGAGTGGCCCCCCCAGCAGCAGGTGAGTGGGGGGCTCCTTCCCACCACGGCCTGGCTCGGGCTGCGGGATGGCAACAACCAAATTCCTGGGGGGAAAGAGAGGGGAGAGGGATCAGCCACCTGCAGGATGGATCTGGCCCCGGGAGGGAGCACAGGCTGCGGTGGGAACAACCTGGAGGCTTGTTCCCCTTCCCAGGGAAAGCTGGGAATGGTAGAAGACAATGAAACCTTGTTCCCCTCCCCAGGGAAAGCCTTGTTCTCTTTCCCAAGGGTAAAAGGCCAGGAAGCCTTGTTCCCCTCTCCAAGAAAAACTGGGAATGGTAGGAGACCATGAAGTCTCGCTTCCCTCCCCAGGGAAAGCTTGGGAATGGTGGCAGACCCTGGAGTGAACAGCCCTGGGAGGGTTCTGTGGGTTTGCAGTCCGGGGGCACAGTGGGATTGGGGCTCTGATCCCGAGGGATGGGTGCCAGCAGCATTCCCATACCATCAGTGCCGGGAGCACGGGCGAGGCAGCTCCGCTACGTGGAGGATTCCGGCTCCTGGGTCTGTTTGGAGATGAGCTGGGCCTCCTTCAGGGACAGGTAAACCTCCTCCTGCGGGTCGTAGTAGTAGAACTTGCGGATGTAGGAGATCAGGGGCCTGGAAAAGCAGCGGGAAGAGCCTCATCCCCGAGCCACGACCCCTCCAACCTCCCCATGGCACAGCCAGAGCCCCTCCCCAGAGCCAGAATTCCCACAGGCATCCCCCACATCCCACAGGACACTCATCCTGCTGTCCCCAGGCTGGGGGAGGCAGTCATTCCCTCCCCGGGCCCTGCCCTTCCCACTGCCCGGGAATCCAAAGGGCCCCATCCCCGGGACTCACTTGGGCAGCGGGAGCTCGGGAATGTGGTCGATCCGGACCAGCTGCCGGATCCGGAAGCGGCAAAGGTGCTGAAGGGACTTGACGTTGCTGAACCTGGAGACGGGATACAGGAGCTGCACGGGCGTTGGGGGGAGACCTTTGGGGGGGAGGAAAAAAAAAAAGGCAGTGCCGGAGATGAGGAAGAGCTCCTGATCCCCCAGGGAAAAGCTGAGCTCCCCTCTAGTCCGGGTTCCACACGGGATCGCGGGATCATGGAATGGCAGGGAACAACCTCCCATGCCCCAAAAGCTCCCCCCTCCCCCAAAATTGGGGATAACAACAAAGCCCACAGGCCCCAGAGGTCGGAGGAGCACCGGGAAGGGTCTCTGGGAGCTGGGCTCACTCCCAGCATGGGGTTCTGTCTGTCTTTGCAAGGGGATTCCAAGGCAGTTCCACTCTAACCCCCTCCTGCTGGCCTGTCCCCCAGGGCACTGCAGTGAGAGGAGAAAAGGGAAGGCTCTTCACACTGAGACGGGCTCCAAACTGCTCCAGGCAGCTCAGGAAGCTGGGAGCCAGCTTTGGAAGGAGCAAGGAACAGCGAGGCATTGAAGGCTGGATCCTGCCCCCTCTTATTCTCCCACCAGCAGGAAAAAAAAAAAAGGGGAATGAGCCTCTGGGAGCTCGGCCAGCAGCCACAGGGACACAGCCCGAGCTCCACATGGGCCCTGCCAGCTGGAAGAGCCCCCTCCTCCAAAACCCCTCCCTCCAAAACCCCTCCCTCCCAGCAGCAGGTCACTGCTCCAGCAGGAAAACAGCCCTAAGGAGCTCACTGGGGAGATCCCAAATATGCTCCCACTACGGATCAGGCATCACCTCGAGACTTGGTTTGTATCAAGGGTCTCCAAAGCCAGCACTGGATCCGGGAAAGTGCAGGATCCAGCAGCAAAGGGCACCTCAGCAGGTGCCCAGCACTGTTTGAGGGGGATATTTTCTTTTTTTTTCAATGGTATTTTTCTAAATCAAACCCACAGCCCCAGGTGGAGGAAAACTCAGCCTGGGAAAACTGGGAAGCCACAAAGCATGGAGCAGTTTGAGACTGGAGGGGAGGGAAGGAAAAGGGGAGGGGGTTTTAGCAGCCAAATAATTGCCTGGTTGGGGGTAAAGCAGCTCCCAGGCTTGGGGCACTTGCCAGCGGGGAGGTGGTACATCTTGATCCCAAACTCCTGGAGAGAGGGGGGAGGTTTGGGAATTCTCCTTCTTCCTCCCACCTCAGGAGTGGAGATCTGCTCCTCAGGCCGTGAGGGGGCTCACCTGGGACCCTGGAGCGCAGGAAGTAGAGGAACTTCCCGTTTTTGGAGTGCATGATGGCCCTCTTGATGAACTCCACCACGGACTGGCAGCGGTCCTCGAACTTGGGGTGGCACCACAGGCTGAAGGTCCCTGCAGAGAGAGAGAGCAGAGGGAGGTTGGCACTTCCCCCCTGGTAGAGCTGGTTGGGGGCAAGAGGGGACGTTTGGGGACGGGCCTGGAGCTCCCAAAACCCAGGTGAATGTCCCAGGTCAGCTTCTCAGAGCTGGGGTGGGGCACTAAGGGACCAGCACTCTGCAAGGGCTGGGGATCCACACAGAGATGTGACAGCGTGGCCACTGGCATCCAGAGGTGGCCTGTGGCCACCTCTGGGTGCCAGTGGCCACGCTGTCACATCTCCCTGAACTTGTGAACAGCTTCAACTTCAAAGCAAATACACCCCAATCTGCAGAAGTCCCACCCACCCCACAGCATTCCCAGGGGAATTTCCAGGGTGTTTAAACCTCCAACACCCAGGGTGCTGAAGGCCCCCTTTCTCCCCAGCCCCATGGCTGTGCCAGGGGATCACGTTCCACCACGAGCTCCTTGTCCCCTGCCAGCTGCTCCCAAGCACCTTAATTAAAGGGACTGTTAAGTAGGGGCAGGGTCACAATACACAGGCCAGGGGTGTCCCTGTCACCCGACACGACGCCCGCCCCGGGCTCCAGGTGGCCCAGGGTGAAACTGGAGATGGGGACACGGGGCCAGCAGCCCCCAAGCAGGTCACAGAGCTCCAAGTGGGTCAAACCTCCGAGCCAGACCAGTCCCTGCAACCAGGCAACCCCCTCCTCGCACCAAAATCCCGGACTCGTGGAACGCTTTGGGTTAAAAGAAGGTCTCCAAGACTGAGCCCAAACCCTGAGGTCAAGGTGGGGGTCCCTGCACCCCCCCATTCTCACCTCTGTAGTGCTCCATCCTGGTGTGGTGGGTGATGCCCTGGGACCTGAAGCTCAGGCTCAGGATGTACCGGGGGTCGGAGCTGTCCCGCACCAGGAAGGACCCGTCAGGTTTCCCCTTCAGCTTCATCTCGGCATCCTCCCAGTTCATGGGGCCCCAGTACCACCCACACTGGGGACAGAGGCGGTCAGAGGGTCAGAACACGCTGGCAAGGGGGATTTGTCAGCAACCAGACACTGCACAGCTTGCTCCTGGCTGCTACGTTCCTGAATGGAAGGGCCTTGCATCCCCCCGGGAGTCCCATCCCATCCCATCCCATCCCATCCCATCCCACCCCAAAGGCAGGGAAGGGACAGACAGGACCACGACACCCCCCCCCCACACACACACACACCAAAATGCTTTCCTGGACCCAGAGAATCATGGGATAATTGAGGCCGGAAAAGACCCCTGGGATCACCGAGCCCAATCCTTGCCCCAGCACTGCCCAGGCCACCCCTAACCCACATCCACACAGCTCCCCCCCAGGGATGGCAATTCCCCCACTGCCCTGAGCAGCCTGTTCCAGTGCCTGTTCCACACTATCCCCTCTAAGCCCCTCCTGCTGCAACTCCAGGATGTTCCCTCTTGTCCCACACCCTGGCAGGGCACACCAACCCCCTCGCTGGGGGAAGGGCAGGAGGGTCTTTCCCACCCCTGCCCTAATCCTGTGCTCCCAAGTCCACGCAGGGGGCGATCAACCCCCAAAATCAAACCTTGACTGTGTGATTTTCCCCTGCTGGCTGTTCCCCCACAACGTCCCAGGAGCCCCTTTACCTTCTCCAGCTCCCTCAGGCTGGCGGCGAAGCTGCTGGAGTCGGGGCGGGAGAGGGGGCACTGCAGGTGTGGGGTGGGCTGGGCCACCCCCTCCGGGGGCCGCACCGGGACGATCCTGGGAAAGGCGTCTGCACAGGGAGAAACAACCCAGGGCCATCATCACCCACGGGGGGATCCCCCACGGATCCCAGCCCCCACACAGCTCCAGAGGAGGACAGGCTGGGAATCCTTCCCTGTGCCTTCACCTGCTCTTTACTCTGGCCCACAGAGGAGGAGTGGGAGGAATGGACACACACACACACAGCCTGGAAAAGGGGCAGGGAAAGCCCTCTGGGTCCCAAGGAAAGCGAAAGCAAAAGGGGGAATCCCTCAGGAAAACTCTGTGTGTGTGTGTGGGGAGGGGGGGCTGTCACAGGCTGGGGTTCCTGCCTGGAATTCTGCTCCCATGGCATTGCTGACCCTCCTTATCGGGGTGGGCTGAACCCCGGAGGGACCAGAGGCTGAACTGAGGACAAAGCTCAATCCTGAGCTCCAGCAGAACCACGGAGGGCGAGGAGAGCCACGGGAACAGAGCCTGGCCACGGCACTGCCTGCAGGCCCACGAGCCCCTCAAAGTGGAGCAAGAAACCCCCCCAGAGTGCAGATTCCTGCAGGGAAAAGCCAGAGCCTGGGTAAAGCTCAGCTGACCTGGGGCGTGGGGCGGAGGAGGCGGAGGCAGAGGGAAAGACTGCAGGGAAGAGCCCATTGGACCCACTAGGACAGATGGAGGCAGCGTCCCACTGATATCATCTAGGAGAGAACAGAGGCAAGAGAGGTTCAGAGAGCAGGAGAGACAGCGAGTGTGTGACAGGAGCGAGCCAGGAATCCAGCACTGCCCGGAGAAGGGAAGATGGAGCTTCCCCCTGGCAGCTCTCCATCCTCCTCTGGCTTCTGAGCGTGGCTTCACACCAGCTCGGGGCCCTGCACACACACACACGTCCCCAGGGGAGAGGAATCCCTTCTCCAGAAAGAGAAAAAGAGGCAGTTTCAGGAGATCTCAGCCCCAGCACACAGGACAGCTGCTGACCTCACCCACCCCAAGCTGCTCCTGCCCAGAGGAAGCTCCTCCAGAGGAGGATGAGGAGCATCCCAGCCAGGTTCCTGCTGCAGGAGCCTCCACTTGCACCACCTGGACACCACAGAAGGGATCCAGCCTCACTGGCTGATGGGCAGGGAGGGGAAATGCTACAAAACCAGCACGTTCCCTCCCTCCCACCTCACTGTCCCAACCTCCCCCTCCCCTCCTGCCCGATCCAAGGGAAATCCGAAGCTTCCAACGAATCCTCGGCCAAGGGAAGGGAGAGCAGGTGTGGCACAGGGGTCAGGGGGCCCTGAGGATGCTGCCCCACGGATCCCACGCTCCCAGCCCACCCAGGGTGCCCCCCAGGACGGTACCGAGCAGGCTGAGGCTCCTCCGGGGCGGAGGGGGAGGAGTTGGAGGGTGAGGGGAGCTCAGTCCTCGCTGGGAAATGTCCACGTCCACCAGTGACACCGTCTCACCTGCAGGGGTGTGGAGAACACCGTCAGAGCTGGGGAGAAGGGGCAGGAGCCTCCCCAGGGTTTGGGAAATGGTCCCATCAGTTGTCTCCAAGCGGAATCTCCTGGTTGTGATTCCCAACCACCCCTTCCCCAAGGTCAGGTTGAGCCACTGACACTGGACCTGGGCCTGAACCCCACCCAAGCACAGCACCAGGAGGCTCCAAGAGGCCCTTTCCAGCACAGAATTCCCATAAAAGCAGAGCCCATCAGCGTGGGGGACACGATCCCACAGCCAGGGTGGCACCTGCTGCCACAGCACTCCGGTCACACCCCTCTGAGTTTGCCTCAAATGACCGAACAAAAACAAACACCTTTTGCCCCAAAGGCCATAAAAATGTTCTTAAAATTAATAAGAAGGAGCTGGACAGGCTTTTAAATTAAATGCATTAAATAAGTGGGATTCCCCAAAGCCTAAAGGCTCCGGGCCCAGGATGCTACCTGGGGAGAGTAAGGACACAAAAAGGCTCTTAAAACCAGAAGAGCTCTTCAAAACCAACCTAACTCACAACAGGGAAAGCTGAAAATTAGGCTAAAATCATGGAGAGGAATGAAAACACCAAATCCAATCGAGGTCAAAGCATCGGCCTCAACACCAGCACCTAAATCCCAAAGGGTAAAAAACAGGGATAGTGGGTTTTTTTCCCCCCAGGCATTTGAATTCTGTCCCACTTTGGCTCAGAAAAATCCCCTAAAACCAGTCCTTACACAAACCAGGAGCTCAGTGGTGTGAGGCTGGAGGAGCCACCACAAACCAAAAGCAATTAAAATCCAGATATTCGCTCTGGAGACACCCCCGTGGTCTTTCTGTGCAGGAAAAGCTCCCAGGGAGGGCACTGCCACTTACCCCATTGATGAACTAATAACCAATGAAACCAACCTCCCAAATTTAAAGCAAGAGCTTGTCACCTCCAGGTCTTCCTCTGCGGGTTCTTGTGAGGAAAAGCAGCTCCATGCACACATTTCACCAGCACACAGAATTATGGGTTTGGGGTTTTTTTCTTTTCCCTTCAGAACTTCCCCAGCAGCAGCTGACAGAGCAGCACAGGCAGCTTTTTGCTTTCACCAGCCTTAATTTGCTTAATAAATTTGCACATGACACAGAGGAATCCGCTCCAGTCACGTGAGAGGCACCAGATGAAGGGAAATGGGACCAAGGAAGGGACCAGGCACTGCCACAGCTGAATCACCCCCGGGTGACTCTGCTCCTGCAGGAGCAGCTCAGAACCTTCCAGGCACTGCTTTCTGGGAAACCAGACCACTGCTCTGCCCGGAAGGTCAACTCTCTGAAGGTTCAACCAGTTCCAGTTTTCACTGGGATTTATCAGAACTCTCCACAAAAAAAAACAAGACCCTCAGCAGGAATTTACTTTGACTCTGACCTTCCTCCCAGGCCACTTCCACTCCCCACGCAGCTGACAAACACTCACTTGTGACCTTCAATTCCAGGTCCTGAGGTGGGATTCTCCCAAGTTCCTCGGGGATTCTCCCCAAGCCCTGTGGCCAGGACTGTTTTGACTGAGAGGTTTCTCAGCTCCAGAGCTCCCAGGCTCCAGCAGAGCAGGATTTCCCCCTCACACCGTCCACAAACCAACCCAACTTCCCCCAGCAGCAGAAAGGGGAAGGTCACAGAGCAGCAGGACACGGGGAGAGGGGGCAGAACACGCAGAAGGAGGTGGCAGAGATCCCCAAAAAGGTTTTGATTCCCAAAACTGTGACGGAGAAGAGGTGCTGACCTTGGTGTGAGGTCCAGGCGGGAAGCAGGGCTTGGTCTCAGAACCCTCTCCTCGGTCTCAGACCCTTCTTTTTGGGTCTAAGGCCAAGCAGGACAGAGGGGACACCGCAGAGATCCTGATTTGGGATCTCATGGAATTAATATTCCTCATTCTCACAGCAAAAATGAAACCCCAGACTGGCATGGACCTTCCACAACTCCTCACCTGTGAAGAGGGGGCTGAACACAACCGGGGAAAAGGCACTTTGAGTTCTTGTCAGTCTGTGTTTCCTATTGGGAATAAGAAAAAAAAAGGGGGTGAGCAGAGATGACCCAGCAGCAGAAGAAAACACCCTTTGCCCTTCTGAGCCCAGGAGGATCTCGCCCTCCAGCCCAGCCCAGCCCCACGTGCTCACCCCGCTCCCAGAGCTTTGGCCTAAGCAGGGCAGGTCCAGGGGAGCTGGGACCCTGTCCTGCCACCCAGCAAATCCCCAAGCAGGTAATTAATGAAGTCTTTGGAAAGAAAACCCCAAGCAAGTGCAGCAGCCAGAGCCAGGGAGCTGTTTCACAACAGACCTCACGCTGCTCCCCTGGCTCGGGCATTGCCAAATCCCTCGGCCAAACAGGTTGGGGCCCTGAGCAGTGTGGGGTTGTGCCTGGAGCCAGCCTGTGCAGGACACCAGCTCCCCAAAATGCAGGTGGAGGGGAGCTAAACCCAGAGATCCCCAAAAGAGATGGAAGCAGCTAAAAACACCCCCCTGGTGAGGCCCAGGGATACCAGCAATCCCACGGAGTTCCTTCCCAAGTGGTTTTATAGCAATGCTGTGCTCTCCCCACTCCTTCCAGCACCTTTCCTGCTGAATGTTAAAGGGATTTATCCACATCCAGGCAGAGGAAACACTGGAAAACTGAGGCACGGAGCATGGAACTCCCACAGCGTGAATCCAGGGCCGGGGTGAGTAAACTTCTCCTCTTTGTGTCCAGACATATTACTTTAATTCCCACTTTTAATGCTGTCTGTTCACAAATAAAAATCCTGAGAGCTCTCATGATCACCCTGGCAGAGCTGAGTTAATGGTCGGACTCAATGAACCAAAAAGTCTTTCCCAACCTAAATGATTTCAGGATTCTCTATAAAACCCCATTAAAACATGTGGAAATGTTTTGATTTCAAGCCTCTCACACCTATTTGAGGTTGAGATTTTTTTTCCTCCCTCTCCTCCCTCAACTCACCAATTATCATCCACACACAAAATTACACTTCTGGACTAATATCAACCAACTCTAAAATACAGTAACAGCTCTAGAGCTCCCACCCACCAAAGCAGCCAGAAAGGAGCATTTTCCTGTTACCAAAACAGCTCCATTTCATGCCAAGATTTCACAGCATCGATTTCTGAGATTTCCCATTTCATCAGCAACAGGGAGAGAGCAAGAAACGATTCCCATGGACCAAATCTTCCACTTCCCAACTCCACTCTCCACCAAAACAACCTATTCCACACTCCTCCTTTCCTCGTGTTCTCCAGGATCCCAGTTCCACACACACAAATCTGGGAAATGCCTGGAACTCCACAAAAATCAGGATTTTAGGGTCACCAGCACAACCAACTGATAAATTTGGGTACCAACCTGGTGGCAGCTGCCTGAGCCTGTGCCCAACCCTGCCCCCTTCCCTCCAACCTCCTCTGCTGTACAAATTCCACCCCAAAATAGGCAGTTTCACTCCTATAACCTTTAAATCCCAACTCCCAGGCCCTGGGTGAGGGGGTCACACGTTGGTATCTCCATTGGGTTATTATCATTAATAACCCACCCTCATCACCAGGAGGGCATTCCTGGAACTGGGAGGGGCAGAGTCCTCTCTGAACCACAAGAGTTGCTGCATCAGGCACCTTGAAGTAACCTCTGCTAAAAAATGTCTAATTAGTGCAAGGAGCTGCATGAGAAGTGACCAGTGAAGTGACCACCCAGCTCCCTGACCAAGAGAAGATCCAGGCAGCCATTCCCAGGTCTTTCTCTGCTCCCAGGCCTCCCTCCCAGCTCTCCACCACCTGATCCCAGCACTGGGAGGTCCCAGGACTCCTCCAATTAACCACAAGCGCATTAGCAAACATTATGTCATTACAGGCACCTCATTTGAGGCCCATTTAGTCACTTGTGGGGAACTGTCTAAAGCTGCTCCAACACCCCACGTGCCAGGGGAGGCTCCTCGGGGGCACAGGAGCTCCAGAAAGGACTCAGCTCCTGCCCAGCTGCAGGGCTGGGAGCTGCCACCTCCCAACCCACCCTCTGCTTCAAAGGGGAGCTCATTCGAGGTTATTTGGGCCTCCCCTGGCTGCCTTCGGGGCTGTCACCACACGCCAGGGCTGCAGGTCACGCCTGACCCCAGGTCAGGTCAGCACCTCCAGCCTGGAGAAAAGCTTCCTGCTCGTCCCCCAGCAGCTCCTTGGCTGCAGGAGGAGGGAACACACCCCAAAATCCCTACGGGAGGATAATGAGCCCTGCAGGGAGAGGGCTGTGCTGCAACACTGAGTCCATCCAATTATCCCAGGCTGCTCCCAGGCTGCTGCCCAGACCTGGGCAGGCTCTCCCAGCCTCCTCTGGGAGGGATTGCAGTTCTGCTGCTGGGAATGTTATGGAAAGTGGTTTCTGGAGCACAGCAGCCTTGCCAACGGGTACAGAGCAGCTGGAACATGAGGCTGATGGAACAGGGATGAGGAACAAGGGGGACATGTGGGGGTCCCACAGTACATCCCAGGATTTGTCCCTCCATCCCAGCCAAACTCTGGCTGCCCATTATTCCTCCTGCCATGTCCTGGGAGCAGCCAGGAGGGAGAGCAGAGGCCCCAGGGCAGCACCCACCACCCCGGAGCCACCAGAGCCTCAGGAAATCACCCTGCAGGACGTGGGAAGTGAGAGGGAACTCCAGTCCCTTGGATCCAGCACAGTCTCACCAGAGGGGACAGCGCTTCCCTGGCACCTGCAGCATCCCAGGGCTCCAGTGGCTCCCACAAGCCACCCATCACCTCATCAGTCATGGAATAATGAAGGCTGGAAAAGCCCTCCAAGATCACCAAGTCTTTGTGACCAAATTTGTGACCAATTTGTGACCAAATCCCACCACAGCCACTAAACCGTGTCCCATCCACTTGTTTTTTGTCCTGTCCCTTGTTCCCTGGGAGCAGAGCCTGACTCCCACCTGACTCCCCACTCCTGTCAGGGAGTTGCAGAGCCACAAGGTCCCCCCTGAGCCTCCTTTTCTCCAGGCTGAGCCCCCCCAGCTCCCCCAGCCACTCCTCACAGAACTGATGCTCCAAGCCCTTGTCCTGGTCCTGCTCCCAGATGTTTCTCCAGCATCCCCACTGCAGATGCAGGGCTGGAGCAGCGTATCCCTGCTCCACCAGCCCCTCCAGGGCTCCAGCCGTGCTCGTGCGAGCAACGAGGCCTCGGCACTTCCCCGAGAGGCCGAATCCCAGCTCGGAGCCGGTGCCTTGTGTCACCCTCCAGCGAGGCATCACAGCCCCGGCTCCCCATCACCCCCGACCCCAGGAGCCGTGCCATCCCCCCAGCCTTCCCCCGCAGTGCCGGTGCCCCCCGTACCTGCCCGTCTCCTGCTCCCGTCCGCGGGCCCCGCACACATCGGTGAGGCTCCCGGCCGAGGTGGCGGCGGCGCTGGCGGCATCCCCGGCGGCCGAGCCCCCGCTGCAGCTCTTGGTGCGGAAGAGGCGGCTGAGGCGGATCCTGAGCGAGCCCTTCCTGCCGCCGGGGCCGGTCCCGGGGCCGGTGGCGGTGCCCGCGGGGGCTGCGGGCTGCGGTGCGGGACCGGGGGCTGCTCTGCGGGCGGCCCCGCGCCCGGGGGACCCCGGCTCCTCCTCGGAGCCGCTGCCCGCCTCGTCGGGCTCCAGCGCCTCCAGCACCAGCAGCGCATCGCTGGTCTCCTCGCCGGCGGGCGGCCCCAGGCACGGGCAGGGGAGTCCCGCCGCCCCCTTGGCCCCCAGCCCCGGCGGCGGCCGCAGCCCCAGCGCCGCCAGCTGCAGCTCCAGCCCCCCCTGCGCCGCCCCCAGCCCGCCGCCGCCTTGGGCTCCAGCGCGCAGCGGTGCCGCGGGCACAGCTCGGCCCCGCCGCCCCCGGGACCCCCTGCCGCCGCCGCCGGGCCGCCGTCCTCGCCGGGCCGCCCTCGGCCGCCGCGTTGCGGAAAACCATCAGCTGCGGCCGCGGCCCCCCCGGCACCGACAGCCGCCCGCCCGCGCCGGGCACCGCGCCCGCCGCGCCGGCACCGGCACCGGCGCCGCCTGCCGCGCCCGCCTCCGGCCCGGAGCCATAGCCCAGCAGCCGGCTGAGCACCCGGTACGAGGCCGCGGCCGCCGCCGCCGCCGCCGCATCCCCGTCGCGCTGCATGGCTACGGCCGCCGCATGGCCCGCGGGCACCGGCACCGGGACGGGCACCGGGACATGCACCGGCCCCGGCCGCCGCCGCCGCCGCCCTCGCACGGCCGCGGAGCCCCCGCCCCGCGCCGCCGCCGCGGCCCCCGCTCCGCCCCGGCGCTTCCGCCGCTGGCCGCGCCCCCCGCGCCCGGGACCGCCTCTCCCGGCCGTGCTGGGCACGCCCCGGTGCGGGGATGCCGCGCACCCACCCCGCTCCCGGCCCCGAGCCCGCCGTGTGCACGTGGAGGGGCCATGGGGATGCGGTGGGAGCGCCGGGATGCGCTCCGAGCATCGGGACCCCCTTCCAAGCGCCGGGATGCGCTCCGAGCCCTCGCACCCACCGACCGTCCCACACCCATGAACGGGGACCTGCAGCGAGCCCCCGCACCCACGGGCGGCCCCGACACCCGCGGGCGGCACCGGCTCCGAGCGCCTGCACCCACTGACCGGGTTGGGGGGCACGGAGGGAGGGATCGGGGGGCGCAGCGGGGACACCTGGAGACGAAGTCTGTTCGCGACCCAGGGGACTCAGTCCCCACCCCGGTACAGCTGCAGGGGAAACTGAGGCACAGGCATCGTCACCTTCACACTGCGAGCCCTGCACGGCTCCTTCACGGCTCTTGCCCCGTTTGTCGCCCCACCGGAGGAGCGGGAATGAGGTCCAGCGCTCTCTACACCTGCCCGGGGCTGGTGAAAAGGTGGTGCTTCAGGTCGGGGTGAGGGGGGTAAGCTGAGCATCTCCCGTGCCTCAGTTTCCCCTGTGTAGCCCCGGCAGTGCTGCGCGGGACCCAGGGCATCACCCTTGGAGGGTGAGCTTCAGACCCTGCTCGTGCCCACCCCAATCCCGCACCCACCCCTGCAGCCCCACAGGGACATCCCGCGTGGGTGACACCCCCTCGTTCCCATCCCATGGCCGGGGGGGTTGTGTGCGAGCTCTGTGGGATTGGCTCCCCGGACCATCTGGGGACCCCGCGGTCGCCCTGCTCCCCCCGGCTGCCGAGGGGCCGCGGGATACCGGCAGGAAAATTCCCCTTCCCGTTGCCATGGCTTCCCATCAGGATGCTCTTGCATCACGGCCAGCCCGAGGGCCGGGGTGCGGGGGTCCCCCCGGGGGCTCGGCGCAGGGTCCCCCCGGGGCGAGGGGCTCCGGGCAGCGCTGCGGCCCGAGCGGGAGCGGGGGGGCGGGCGGGGGGGGCTCAGGGCAGCGCCAGCCGCTGAACACGGTTTGGAGCCGGTGACGTCTGCTCCGGCATCGCCGAGGGAGGAGAACGGGCGGCAGAGCGCGGGGCCGGCTCCGGGCAGCGCGGGGGTCCCTGCCGGCCATGCGCCCCCCGGGCCGGCCGGGGGGGCCGCCGGGGGACGGGGGGCTCCGCTGAGCCCCAGCCATGGGGCCGCGCCGCTGGCCGCTGCTCTGGGGCGTCCACGCGGTGCTGCTCCACGTCACGGTGCTCACGGCGGGGCAGCGCCCGCAGGAGAGACCCCCGCGGCCGGCAGGGTGGTCGCCGGGCGCCTCGTCCTCGTGGGCGCCCACGCTGGAGCCGGGAGCGCCGGGGGACGCCGAGGGCTCGGCGGCAGCGCTGGCGTTCCTGCGGACGGGCGATGCCCAGCGCCTGGCCCGGGCCAACTGCAGCGGGGGGGTCGCGGCGGGACCCCCCGGCCCGGGGCCCCCCCCGGCCCTGCGAGCCGCCCTCCGGGCCGCCCCCGAGGCGCTGGCACACACCGCCAACTTCCTCAACATGCTCTTCCAGACCAACGACATCCGCGAGGCCAGCGTGGCCGAGGACGTGGAGTGGTACCAGGCGCTGGTCCGCAGCCTGGCCGAGGGGCACCCGTGGGTGCGCCGGGCGGTGCTGGCCCTCGACGCGCACCCGCTGGCCCCCAAGCCCCGGCTGATGCTCCAGGCCACCAAGGGGGACGGGCAGATCCTGCTGCAGGACGTGTCGGCCTCCGCCCCCAGCCTGGGCAACCTCAGCTGGGACAACGAGTGGTTCAACACCCTCAAGTCCCAGCGGACCCCCCAGCTCCGCAAGCGTGTGCTCAGCAACGACCTGCGCAGCATGGAGACCCCCAAGTGGCAGCGGGGGGACAGCTACGTGGGGGACCCGGGCCACGTGAGGTGGTCGCCGCCATTCCTGGAGTGCCGGGACGGCAGATTCCTGCCCGCCTGGGCGGTCACGCTCTCCTCCGCCTTCTACGGGCTCAAGCCGGACCTCAGCCCCGAGTTCAAGTAAGTGGAGCCCGGAGAGGCTGGAGGGGGAGGTTGTTAAGAGGGCTGGGGGGTGTCCCGTGTGTGTGTTGGAGGGGGGGGAAGCTGGAGGTGTCACCCCGGGGTGTGCCAGCACCCTGCCTGTGTCCCTCGGGGTGTGTGTGAGCACTGCACGTGTGTGCTTGCACATCCCCGGGCACGGAGGTGACCTCTGCCCTCCCTCGGTTCCCCCCTGTGATGCCCACCTTGCACTGCCACCCCCAGACCCCCCTGTCACGGCCGTGCTGGGGGTGGGTGAGCCAGGCTGGGACCCCTCCTGGGAAGTGGGGGTGTCCCCGGGCTGGGGGGGTCCCTGCTTCACCCCAGCACCCACTGTGTGAGGAGCCACGGAGGGAGGTGATGGGGAGAGGAGGGAGAGCAGCTGGGATTAGTCCCAGAGAAGGGACATAGCCCCATTTCCAAGGGGGAAGCCGTGTCCTCTTGGGAGAACCCAGGGAAGAGGGTTAATCCCACAGGGACCCACCCCAATAGCCTCTATTTCCCAACCGGTTGCATTAAAGCCCCTTCTGAGAGGCAGAATTCACACGCAGGAGCTGCTGCCCCTGCTCCAGCTCCAGCTCCAGCCTCTCCAGACACGGCTCGAGGGGGAACATCCCTGTCTGGGGGTCTGGGGACATCGCTGACACCTCACTGCCCCCCCCCTCAATCCCTGCACCAGCCCCAGCCCCGCTGTGCCCATCCCAGAGACAGCGGTGGGGCACAGCCACGCTGGGTGGGGGGCACAGGGTGGGCCCACACAACCCCCGGGGCTGAGCCCACCCCTCTGCACAGGGGTGTGGTGCGGGTGGACGTGGAGCTGCGGGACGTGGCCATCGACCAGTGCGCCAGCGGGCCGGGCTGGTTCTCGGACACACATCACTGTGACCTCAACAGCACCCAGGTACCCCCCGCCCCATCCCCGCACCCCTGGGCAGCGCTGGGGCATCCCCACACCCAACCACCCCCGGGCTGCCCCGCGTCCCTCCCTCCGGGCTGAGCTTTATCCTCTCCCGGCCGATCCATCTGCTTCGTTCAGCTGCTCTCACACCGCGGCGAGGGGTTTATTGTGCAAATCTTCCCTCCCCACCGCCAGCCGCGGCGGGTGACCCGGCTGCTGCCTGCCCGGGCACGGCGGGCACGGGGGCTGCCAGCCCGTGGGCACATCCCCCCAGCTCCCCCATCCCCTCTGCCGGCTGAGCCGGTGATGCCCGAGCATTTCAGGGCTCCCCCAGCCAGGGCAAACCCCACGTCCCCCCAGCCTTGGAGTCCCAACCCCAGCGGCCAAAAACTGTCCCCACGTGGGAAAGGCGTCAGCAGCCGCTGTTTCCTGCCAGCGGTGCCCTCCGGAGGGCCGGGCTCAGTGCTGGGCATCCCTCCAGCAAACAACAATGCCCAGCAGGGCCGCCAGTGCAGCCCGTTCGGGGCGGGATGCGCCGGGGGGGGGATTAGGGAGCAGTGCCTGGCCTGGCACTGCCGTCACGGCTGGGCAGGATTAGGGCGCTCGGCTGCATTAGGTGTCCATTTAGGTTTTAGGGAGGGATTTGGGGCCAAGCTCTGGCTTTTAATTCTGAAATGTTTAACCACTGATTCCTCCTGAGCGTGGGGGAGGATGGTGTGGGGTCAGGTAGCCGTGAGCTGGGAGCTGATGGAGCCCCTGGGGTGGGGGGCAATGCGGGGATGGGGGGAGCACACGGGGTGGAGGACAAACCCCTGCCCTCCTGAGTGTCTCAGCCTGTCTCCTTCAGTGTGTCCCCCAGGAGAGCCGTGGCTTCGTCCTCGGGAGGTACCTGTGCCAGTGCAAGCCGGGCTTTTACGGGGCTGGTGGAGTGGCCAGCGGTGCCTGGGCAGGTGGGTGCCGTGCCCGGCCCTGGGGACCCCGTTTCACCCAGTTTTACCCACGGATACAGCAGTGGGATCCAGGGCTGGGGGGCTTTGGGAAGCCAGAACGTGTGCCCTGGCACGGGAAGTGCCACCAAGCCCTGGGGATGCGGTGATTCCACCTGCATGAGGGGATTCCCCCTGGGTGCAGTGATCCCCCTGGGTGCAGTGATCCCACCCTGGGTGCAGTGATCCCCCTGGGTGCAGTGATCCCACCCTGGGTGCAGTGATCCCCCTGGGTGCAGTGATCCCCCTGGATGCAGTGATCCCCCCTGGGTGCAGTGATTCCCCCTGGGTGCAGTGATTCCCCCTGGATGCAGTGATCCCCCTGGGTGCAGTGATCCCACCCTGCCCTCTCTCTGTCCCCAGGGTCGGACGGGGGGTCCCGCCTGGCGTGCTGGCCCTGCCGCCCGGGCTGTGCCACCTGCGAGGATGACAGGCCGTGCCTGATCCAGGAGGACCCGGTGCTGCGGGCGGCCGTGCTGTCGTGCCAGACCTGCTGCATGCTGGCCATCTTCCTCAGCATGCTCATCTCCTACCACTTCAGGCGGAGCAAGGCAAGGTGTCCCCAAGTCCTCCCCCTCGGCTGTCACCCCCTGCCCCGCTCCCCTCCCAGCCCAGACCCTGCGGTCCCGGGGAGGGGGGATCCTCCTGCCCTGGCTCCATCCCCTCTGGACACCAGCCGAGGCTCCGGCTGCACCCTCACACCTCTGTCCCTGCAGAGGATCCGGGCGTCAGGGAATTATCCTGCTGGAGACCATCCTCTTTGGATCCCTCCTCCTCTACTTCCCCGTGAGTATCCAGCTGTTCTCTGGAGCTGGAAACCTCTGGGATGGAGTTCACAGGATGGAACTGCCCCAAGCAGGGCACGGGCACGGCTCCACCTAATTGTTAATTTTGCTGGCATGGTCCCTGGGGGCTGCGGTATGAACCTTCTCAGAAAACCAAATCCCTTTTCTCCTGCTGGCTGCGGGAATTAATCCCTGCCCAAATCCCCTCTCCCTCCCTCACGAGCTGAGGTGGAGACTGCAGGGTCAAGGGGAGGGGGGGGCTGGATTGAAAGCAGGTGATTTCCGAGGCTCTGGAGGCGAGATCCATCCCGAGCCCATCCCTGATCCCGGTCTCCCGCCGCTCCAGGTGTTCATCCTGTACTTCAAGCCGAGCATCTTCCGCTGCATCGTCCTGCGCTGGGTGCGGATGCTCGGCTTCGCCACCGTCTACGGCACCATCACCCTCAAGCTGTACAGGTACCCAGGGCGGGGGCTCGGGACGCCCCCAGCAGGGAGGGCAGGGGGCTCACCCCTGTGCCCCCCCCCCAGGGTGCTGAAGGTGTTCCTGTCCCGCTCGGCCCAGCGGGCGCCCTACGTGTCGAGCGGGCGGGTGCTGAAGATGCTGGCGCCCATCCTGCTCCTGGTGCTGTGGTTCCTGGCGGCCTGGACCATCGGGATGCTGGAGAACGTCAACAGGAACATCCCGCTGGTGATCCGCACCCAGACCACCCACGGGCTCCACTTCTACATCTGCGGCCACGACTGCTGGGACTACATGATGGTCATCGGTGAGACCACCCCCAGAGGGATCCTGGTGGGGCGGCAGCACCCATGGGTGCCCCCCAGAACACGCTGAGGGCAGCAGGGTGCCAGGGCCAGGTGCTCAGCGTCACTCCCTGCTCTGCCCCACAGCCGAGATGCTGTTCCTGCTGTGGGGCAGCTTCCTGTGCTACGCCACCCGTGCCGTGCCCTCCGCCTTCCACGAGCCCCGCTACATGGGCATCGCCCTCCACAACGAGCTCATGATCTCTGCTGCCTTCCACGTGGTCAGGTAGGGCACGGGGCCGGGAGGGGCTGGGAATGGCAATTCCCATCCCTGGAGATGCTCAGGAACCGCCCCCAGCTGGGGTGGGAACTGTGGATCCCTGGGCGGGGGAAGCTGTGGGGTCTGGGGGTGAAGAGAAGGGGCTGTGGGTGCCTTGGTGGGATCTGGTGCTGCCCTTCTCGCCCCTTTCCAGGTTCCTCATCATCCCTTCCCTGCATCCTGACTGGACTCTGCTCCTCTTCTTTGCTCACACCCACGGCACCATCACCATGACCCTGGCCCTGCTCTTCATCCCCAAGGTACTGTGTCCTGGGAAGGGAACGGAACTGGGAAGGGGCTGGAGCAGCAGGAGCAGCTGAGGGAGCTGGGGGCGCTCAGCCTGGAGAAAAGGAGGCTCAGGGGGACCTTCTGGCTCTGCAACTCCCTGACAGGAGTGGGGAGCCGGCAGGGGGTCGGGCTCTGCTCCCAGGGAACAGGGACAGGACAAGAGGAAATGGCCTCAAGTGGCACCACGGGGAGGTTTGGCTCGGATTTAGGGGGGAAATTTCTTAATAGAAAGGGTAATAAAGCCTTGGAATGGGCTGCCCAGGAAGGTGGTGAAATCACCATCCCTGGAAGCGCTCAAAACCCCATGGATGTGGCACTGGGGGACACGGTTTAGCCGTGACGTGGGTTAACGGTTGGACTCGATTTTAGAGGGCTTTTCCAACCTCAGTAACTCCGTGACTCCAGTGCTCAGCCCGGGGACTCTGGGGGCTGGGGCTGGGGTCCCCTGGCACCGCAGGGACCCCTCAGTGAGTGCCCTCTCCTGCCCCTCCAGTTCCTGCACACGGGCTCTCCGCTGCGGGAGGAGATCACGGCCGAGGTGTACGAGGACGAGCTGGACATGCGGCGCTCGGGCTCCTGCATGAACAGCAGCATCGCGTCCGCCTGGAGCGAGCACAGTCTCGACCCCGATGACATTCGGGTGGGTGGCACACTCAGGACCTTCTTTTGACGCTGGTTGCACAGAGTAAGAGGTGCCTTTCGCAATCTTTTCCTGATGCAAAGCAGAGGGGAGGGCGGGGAGAAAGGGGGTGCAGGGGGACCCTCCCCGGGTGGGCAAACCCTCTGTGTGACCTGGGCTGGAGGGGTCGGACAGCGCGGGGGGAGGGGGAGTTTGGGGGTGGCCTGGGCGGTTTTGGGGGGTTCTTTTCCAGCCCCCCGCTTTACGTGCCCTCCTCTCTCCCCTCTCTCTGCCGCGCCCGGCGCAGGAGGAGCTGAAGAAGCTCTACCGGCAGCTGGAGGTGCACAAGACGTGGGGAATGGCGGCCAACAACCCCCACCTGCCCAGGAAGCGCAGCTCCCGCCGCAGCCTCGCCCGCTCCATCCTGCGCCGCGGGGCCGACCTGGCCGAGGCCTCGTCCCGCCGGAGCAGCGCCGGGGACCGGGGCAGCACCCTGGGCCGCCGTGGCTCCTCCGCCAGGACCAGGGCGCGGGACGAGGGGTCCCGGCGCCGCCCCTCCGCCCTGCGCCAGTCCCGCAGCTCCGAGGGGCCCCCCCGAGGGCCGCCCACCCCCAGCACCCTCCCCGCCGAGGAGCCCTCGCCGGCGACGGAGGTGACCCTGGAGCAATCCGACAGCGACTCGCTGGACGCCGCCCCGCTGGTGTGCAAGTCGGCCAGCGCCCAGAACCTGTCGGGGCACTGGCAGAGGCTCCCGGCCCGGGCGCCCCCCCTGCAGAAGTCGCACAGCGTTGTCACCGGGGCGCGGGAGGAGGCCCTGCTGGCCGCCAGCAGGGCCGCCCGGGAGGGGTGGCACAGCAGCAGGCACCTCTCAGCCCCGGCCTCGCGGCACCCCCCAGGCCACGCGCCCCCCAGGGACACCGGGAGGGCCAAAGTGCCCGCCAAGAGCTGCTCCCAGGGGGACGCGTCCCCCCCGGGCGATGCCAAGGTGCAGAAACGCGTCACCTACGCGCCCGTCAAGAGCGTCAGCATCGACGGCGCCCGCCCGCCCAGGAAGGTGCGGGTGGCCGTGAGGAAAACGCCCCCCGCGCCCCCCGTCCGCTACGAGAGCCTGGGGAGGCGCTCGGGGCCAGCTGGGGACCCCCTGGAGCCGGCGGAGCCACCACGGGACCCCCCGGCACCGGCGGGGGAGCCGGGACACGCGTCATCCCCCATGGGTCTGCTGACCCCACCCCCCTTCTCAGCACAGGTCTGTCCCTGGGAGATGATCCAGGACGAGATCCTGAGCAGGAAACAAAAATCCGCCGAGGCAGCAGACTCGGGGACCCCCGGTGACACCGAGCCCACCGACCCCGAGCCCAGGCCGCGCCCTGCGAGGACCTTCCGGACTCTGGGCCTCGCCATCAAAGCCCTGAACCGCTCCAGGGGCAAGGGCAGCCTCAGGGGGAAGAGGGAGAGCGAGGGGAGCTTCAGGAAGAGGGGGAGCAGCAGGAGGGAGAAGCCCATCCTGGCAGGGGCCTTGGCCGTGTCCCTGCCTGCCCCAAGCGCCGAGGGGGGCAGGCAGAGGCCCCAGCCCCTCACCCGTGGGCACACGGTCCCCTGCCAGCACAACAACAACGCTGCCACCCCCGGGGAAGCCACGGGCTGGGGGGACAGCGGGACAGGAGGACACTGGGACAGTCTGGCTCCAGGGACAGCAGGTGGGGACGAAGTGGCCGAGCAGCCCAGTGGGAAAACAGAGGTGGAGCCCCAGGAAGGGGATGGGGCTCCTGGGGTGGATTCAGGAAAGGATGTTCCTGCAGTGGATCCAGGGAAGGATGCTCCTGCAGTCACACTGGAGGAAGGAACAGCCAAAGGGCTCCAGGGGACCAGCAGGCCCATCCAGCCCCAGGACCACACCCAGGAGAAGGAGCAGCCACCTGCAAAGCCCACCCCAAGCAGCCCCCAGCCCTCCACCACCAGCGTGCAGAGAGAGGCCAGGGAGAAGCCGGGGGCTGAGGTTTTTCCCCCGGGATCCCTTGGAATCCCAGCAGGAAGGGCAGCCCTGCTGCGCCAAGAGGCCGTTGCTTCGCGGGAGGACTGGGCTGGCACTGGGGAACCTCCCCCCAGAGCTGCTCCCGGGAGCTCCGGGACTCCAGAAGTGCCCTGGAGGAGCTCCCGGGTCTCGGTGTGTCCCTGGGAGGCAGTGGGAGCTGACGGGGGTGCTGAAGTTTGCCCTTGGGAAAGGGGAACAGCCTCGTCCAACGCAGCTAAGTCAGGTGATGGTGACATCTCCCAAGGGAAAAGTGGGATTTCCCCACAGGCAGCAGCCCCAGGGGGAGTGGGAGAGGCAGCTCTGGCTGCAGGCAAAGGGAGAGGGCAGCAGGGATCCCCCAAATCTGGAGAAGGTGAGGAGCAGCCTGGGATGGGGCTCCCAGCTGTGCCCAAACCCTCATCCCAGCAAGCTGGGTCCGTGGACAGCAAAAAGGCCACCATCTGTCCGTGGGAAGTGGAGGATGAGCCACATCCTAAAACAGAAATCTGCCCCTGGGAAGAGGCTGCAGCTCCAGCAGGGAAGGAGGCATTGAGGCAGGACACCTCCAAAAGGGAAGGCAAACCAGGATCCAGAGGAGTGGAAGACAGCAAAGCAAAGCTGGCAGAGAGGGGTGGGCGGCAGGCACAGCGCAGGGACACCGGGATCTTCACAGAGCTCCTCAGGAAAAGCCTGGAAAAAGCCGAGTCCAAGAAATCCCGGAGTATGGAGAGCATAAAGGAGGAGATCTGTCCCTGGGAGAGCCTGGACACGGAGCAGACCCCAGCCAAACCCCACCCTGGGAGCACAGAGGCTGCAAAGAAATCCCAGAGCATGGAGAGCCTGGAGGCAGAGATCTGTCCTTGGGAGGATCAGGAGTCCAAATCCAGTGACAGAGCAGAAATCTGTCCTTGGGAAGGGGCTGAACCTCAGCTGGAGAATGAGGCAGCTCCAGGGAAGGACAGAGTCCCACCAAAAGAAGCCTCCAAACCATTGGAGAAGGGAAGCAGAGACCGAGAGTCCATCTGTCCCTGGGAGAGCATGGACATGGAGCAGACCCCGGCCAAACCCCACCCTGGGAGCACAGAACCTGCAAAGAAATCCCAGAGCACAGAGAGCCTGAAGGCAGAGATCTGTCCTTGGGAGGCACAGGAGTCCAAATCCAGTGACAGAGCAGAAATCTGTCCCTGGGAGAGCACGGACATGGAGCAGATTCCATCCAAACCCCGTGCAGGGAGCGCAGAGGCTGCAAAGAAATCCCAGAGCAAGGAAAGCCTGAAGGCAGAGATCTGTCCTTGGGAGGCTCAGGAGCCCAAATCCAGTGACAAAGCAGAAATCTGTCCCTGGGAAGGGGCTGAACCTCCCTGCCAGCAGCCAAAGGCAAAGCAGGTTTCCCAGGAGGGCTCCAGGGGGGACAAGCGCATCACGCGCCAGGCAGCGCTGGCCAGCCTGGACAGACCCCCAGGGAAGGGCAGCAGTGACAGGGAGGCTGTGTGTCCCTGGGAGAGCCTGGGCACACAGGAACCCTCGGGAACATCCAGTGTTGTGGGCACAGGGCTGGCCAAGTCACCTTCAGGGAAATCCCAGAGCACGGAGAGCCTGAAGGCAGAGATCTGTCCTTGGGAGGTCAAATCCAGTGACAGAGCAGAAATCTGTCCCTGGGACGGGGCTGAACCTCAGCTGGAGAGAGGGGCAGCTCCAGGGAAGGGCAGAGTCCCATCAAAAGAAGTGGCCACCTCCAAACCAGTGGAGAAGGGGAGCAGAGACCATGAGTCCATCTGTCCCTGGGAGAGCATGGACATGGAGCAGATCCCGGCCAAACCCCACCCTGGGAGCACAGAGCCTTCAAAGAAATCCCAGAGCACGGAGAGCCTGAAAGCAGAGATCTGTCCTTGGGAGGCCCAGGAGCCCAAATCCAGTGACAAAGCTGAAATCTGTCCCTGGGAGAGCACGGACACAGAGCAGATTCCATCCAAACCCCGTGCAGGGAGCGCAGAGGCTGCAAAGAAATCCCAGAGCAAGGAGAGCCTGAAGGCAGAGATCTGTCCTTGGGAGGATCAGGAGTCCAAATCCAGTGACAGAGCAGAAATCTGTCCCTGGGAGAGCAGAGACACAGAGCACATTCCATCCAAACCCCACCCTGGGAGCACAGCACTGCCCAAATCACCTTCAAAGAAATCCCAGAGCACGGAGAGCCTGAAGGCAGAGATCTGTCCTTGGGAGGCCCAGGAGCCCAAATCCAGTGACAAAGCTGAAATCTGTCCCTGGGAAGGGGCTGAACCTCAGAAGGAGAGAGGGGCAGCTCCAGGGAAGGGCAGAGTCCCACCAAAAGAAGTGGCCACCTCCAAACCAGTGGAGAAGGGAAGCAGAGACCGAGAGTCCATCTGTCCCTGGGAGAGCATGGACATGGAGCAACCTCCTGCCAAATCCCGCCCTGGGAGCACAGAGCCTGCAAAGAAATCCCAGAGCATGGAGAGCCTGAAGGCAGAGATCTATCCTTGGGAGGATCAGGAGTCCAAATCCAGTGACAGAGCAGAAATCTGTCCCTGGGAGAGCATGGACACAGAGGATCCCTCCCTGAAAACTGGGATGGAGAAGGAGCCATCCAAGAAGTCCGACAGCACAGAGAGCAGGAAATCTGAAATCTGCCCCTGGGAAGCAGCAGAGCCCACGGGGTCAGAGAAGGAAAGCTCCAAAGCAGGTGTGCATCCACAGGGAGCTGACAGAACATCCCACCCTGGGATGGGAAAGCCAAAGCCGGTGGCAGGAGCCAGTGTTGGGTCTCCAACAGTCCTGCTGCAAAAATCCAAGGGCAGCTCTGATGGGGAGGCCAAGCACAAGCCCCTGTGCCGCCTCCTGCCCGGCATCCAGCCCCCAGGGGTGGGCAGCAGCTCCAGCCCTGGCACTGGCCTGGCTGAGGTTTGTCCCTGGGAAGCAGAAGAGGCTCCATCAGCCCCTCCCAAGCCCAGCACAGACACGAGGAAAACCTCCCAGGTGTGTCCCTGGGAGGAGGAGAGTGTGGATCCCACCCCGACCCAGCACGGCCAGGGCAGAGCCAGGGGGAGCCCCTGGGATGGAGAGGGGGGTGAGAGGGAAACCCAGCCCCACGTGTGCCCCTGGGACCAGCAGTAGCTCCATCCCCAGATCCCAGTGCAGATGTGGCTTTCAGGGAGGGAAAGGCTGGGGCTGGAGGCTGCTCCCACCCGCAGAGCCCCCATGCTGGGGGTCTGTGCTGTGTAAGGACGTGTAAATGTGAGGGTGTGTAAATACAGTAAATAAAGGGTGTTGTTACAGGGTGTGCACTGAGAGGCTCCTTTGTGAGGGTGGGGAAGAGCTGGGGGATCCCCCAGGAAGGGGCTGTGGAGGGAACCCAGGCATGGAGTGGTTTAGCTGCAGGGGGAGTTGGGGGGCCACACACAGCTCGACTGGAAGGAAAGGCCATGGAAAGGCCACTCTCCCCAAAAAGCCAGATATTTTCCACAAAAAACTACCCTTTTCATTCAGAGCCAGAGCTGGAGAACCTCACAGAATCCCAGAATGGTTTGGGTGGGAAGGGGTCTTGAAGACCATCTCCTTTCACCCCCTGCCATGGGCAGGGACACCTCCCACTATCCCAGGCTGCTCCAAGCCCCATCCAACCTGGCCTTGGACACTTCCAGGGATGGGCAGCCACAGCTTCTCTGGGACATCCATCCCAGCCCCTCCCCACCCTCCCAGGCAAGAATTCCTTCCCACCATCCCACCTAACCCTGTGGTTGTGATGCCATCCCCCCTGTCCTGGCCCTTCTGAACCCTCCCTCTTTCCTGGAGCTCCTTCGGGTCACAATTAGCTCACCCTGCAGTTTCCCTTTTCCAGGCTGGACAATCCCAGCTCTCTCACCCTTGAGCAGGTCTGGGCAGAGGAGTCACACCCCCACCTGTCCCAGCTCACACAGCCAGCAGCTCACAGGGAGTTATTTTTGCTGCTGGCTCAGCTCCCACACTCCAGAGCCCCGGGTGCCTCCTCAGCTCCTGAGCGAGGCGGAGGCAGAGGCTCCATTTAGAAAGTTCTTTCAGGAACAGACAGATTGTGACACCCCTCTGGCTTCCAAAAGACATGAAAGGGATTCCATTGCTGGCTCCTCTCCCGACACAGCAGAGGGATGATGTTCTGCCCTTCCAAAAGAACATCATTCACAAAAAAAAGGCCAAAAACGCTGCGAGCAGAACGAGCCACAGCTCTTTTTTTTTTGTTTTTAACAGTTCTGCAAAATCTCTTTCAAGGCAGGAATAAAAATGCCCTGGACTCTCAGGGATGAAACAAAAGTGCTCTGGAAATGGCTGAGTTAAAAAGCAAGACAGGGATGAAGAAGAAAACGCTTTGTGACCAGCGAGCAGTTGGCTCTGTGAGGGACCTGGCTGAGCAGAGCAGGGCAGGGACAAGGTTTATTCCCAGCCCTGGAGAAAGGCAACCTCTGGGGATGTGTTTTCCCAAGCCATCCTGTAAATCCAGAGCCTGATGCAAGTGTCTCTGTGTCCACAGGATGGTGCCAGTCCCCCAGTGCCAGCACAGCAGCCACGAGCTCTGTCCCAGGCACCAAACCCCCAGCCTGGGGAAAGGTTCTTGCTGCTTTTCCCTGTTTTGTTTTAAAGGAGGTTGGGAATCGGTAGGAAAAGGGAGGGGGAACGGGAAAACAATGTGCCAACAGCTACTGGTGGAGGTTTTAATGAATGAGCAGCAGGTCTGTGACACTTCCCATGGAAGTGACAAATATCCCATGTCTGGACACATTTCCAAGGGCTCTCCAAGAGCCAAGGGCGCTCACAATGGAAGTCCAGGACAGAGAATGGTCCTGAGGACAAGCACAGGGAGGGTGAAGCTGCAGCACACAAAGTCCTTGGACAGGGTAAAGCCCTTCTCAGGGCCCATTCAAATCCCTCTCCCAGGCCCCTCTCGCTCCTCTAAGGACAACTGTGGGGTGACTGGAGGCCATTTCTGAAGCCACTTTGTTCGTTGGCTGCTCCCAGGGCAGGCACAGCCACATCCAACGTTCCAGAACGTCCTACTTCACTTCTTCATACTCCTGGGAGGGGTCCAGGGCTGGGCCAGGAATCATCACCGTCTGGAGGAGCAAGGAACAGAATCAGCAGGAGACAGAGCAGCTCTGATCTGCTCCACCTTGCAGAGGGGAGGGAAGGGGAGCAGAGGGTTCTGGAAAGAGGGGTCTGGATGGAGGGAGCACAGGGAAAACACAGAGGGTGGATGGGGTGGGATGACAGGCCTTGCACCACACTGGAATTCTCATCTCCTTCCTCTCTAGGAGCTGTTTTTAGTCCCACAGGGAGACAGAGCCCCTGCAGCGCTTGGCCAGGTCAGGCACAGGGAGAACCAATTCCCGAATTCCCCCCCACCTGCCCTCAGGCTCCTGTTCCAGGTGCTCCAGGTGACACCTCTGTGACAGTTAAACAGCTCTGCTCGTGGACCAACCCTCCACCCTCCCCTTCCAGGGGGCTCAGCCTCGTCTTTACCCCTGTTTAACCGGGAATCTGCATTTCCCAGCCAGGCTGGTGCCTCTCCCTGGCGGGATTACCTTGACGATGGGATCCTTCGGAGGGGCCCACTCGGGAACGATCTTGCCGTGCATCCTCCACGAGCTGTAGGGGTTCACCAGGTACCTCTCAAACACCACATACTCCAGGACATCCTTGGGCACCTGCTCCCCGCCGTACATGAGCCGCCCAAAGCGGTCGTAGATGGCCAAAATCTGCAAAAACAGCCCCAAAAAAAACCCGGCTTGGACAGGGCTTGGAGCAACCTGGGCCACTGGAAGGTGTGGGTGGCACTGCGTGGGCTTTTAAGGTCCTGCCAACCCAGCGTGGGATTCCCTGTGCTGGGCTGGGGCCATCCAGTGATCAGAGGGATGGAGCACCTCCTGCGTGGAAAGGCTGAGGGAATTGGGACTGTTGGGCCTGGAGGTGAGAAGGCTTTGCAGTGACCTCACTGTGGCCTCCCAGGAGAGAGACAATTCACAAGGGCCTGGAGAGGCAGGACAAGGGGCAGTGGCTCTAAACTAAAAAGGGGAGACTGATATTGGATACTGGGAAGGGATTCTTCCCTGGGAGGGTGGGGAGGGGCTGGGATGGAACCCCTGGAGAAGCTGTGGCTGCCCCAGCCCTGGAAGTGTCCAGGGCCAGGTTGCAGCAAGCTGGGACAGAGGAAGGTGTTCCTGGGTGGAACTGGACGATCCCCAAGGTCCTCCCAGCCCGTCCCACGCCCTGGTTCCGAGGAGGGCGGGGGCTCGGGGCGGTACCTGCCGCGTGTGCATCCTCACTGTCACCTGCCCGTACAGGTTGCCCCTGTTCATGACGCTGTCACAGCGAACGTGGACCACCCTGGGGGGCTCCAGGGACTCCACAAAGCTCCACCTGATGGTCTTGTACCTGTTCCCACGGACCATCTCCTGCAAGGGGCAGAAACAAGCAGCACCAGCTCGACTCGGAACACAGGCAAAGTGCTGCATCTGACCTCTGCTCTCTGTGAGCAGTGACAGGACCAGGGAATGGCTGGAGCTGTGTTAGGGGAAGTTTGGACTGGATTTTGGGAAAGGTTCTTCCCCCAGAGGGTGGTGGGCACTGAACAGGCTCCCCAGGGTTTGGTCACGGTCCCAAGGCTGTCAGAGCTCCAGGAGGGTTTGGACAACGCTCTGAGGGACAGGGTGGGATTGTTGGGGTGTCTGTGCAGGGCCAGGGGTTGGACTTTGATCCCTGTGGGTCCCTTCCCACTGAGGATATTCCAGGATTCCACAGTGTTCTGCAGGCAGACACTCACGGGGTAGCAGCGCTCGGTCACCAGCGAGTGAAGTTTCTGCTTGTTGAAACTGCAAAGGAAACACAGCCCGTTACCTGAGCACCACAAAGAGGCTTCCCCCCAAATCCCTGCCTTGCCAGGAGGCACACAGGCTCCTGGGAAAACAGAGAAGTGAACTGGAACGAGGACAGGAACGTGGGCTGGACTGACACAACTCCAGGGAAAGGGCACAGGAAGGGGGGAGCCAGTTCTGACCTAAATGTTTTATTGATTGTTTGGAGCTGGAACCAAGAGAGAGGCAGGTTTGAAATCTGCTACTGGAAAGCAGAGCCAGCCAGTGGAGTGTCATTTTATGGAATGATGGAATGGTTTGAAAGGGGGGAAGAGGGACCTGGGAATCCCTCCTTGTCTTTCTAATCCTAAGGAGGACGGAATTGGATGAATTTAAGGTCCCTCCCAACCTAAACCACTCCATCTTTCCAGGATTCCATGAAAAGCAGAGCATCTCAGCAGGCCTTACAACACCCACATGAGTCAGGGGAGGGCCTTACTTTGCCAGGGAATTGTGAGCTTCGATAAATATCTCCTGAGCCTTCTCCGGGAAGGTCTTAGTGCTGAAATCCGGGTCGTGATCTTTGATCTTCCGCAGGCTGGATGGACAGGGAAAGGAAGGAAAGGAACAGGTTGGAGCTGTCCCAGGTGTTTTGGGTGATGGCAGGCTCTCAACCCCCCCAGCATCTCACAGAGACAGACCCAGCACAGCTCCTGCAGCCCAGAATTAAGCTAATTAGTGAACGAGGAGGCACTCACGCCAGCTTGGAGGCCGCTGTCTGCTTCAGCTTATCCATCTTCTGCCTCAGCCCCTCCTTGGACAGGGTGGACAGGCGGGCATCGCCCTCGGGAGGGACGTATGGATCTATGATATCACCTGGGAGAGGGAGGAAAGATCAAATCATCACCAAGTGTCCAAGGCCAGGCTGGACGGGGCCTGGAGCAACCTGGGCTAGTGGAAGGTGTCCCTGCGTGGAACTGGATGATTCACATGCCAACTCGTACTTTTTGGCCCCACCTGTGCAAGCCAAGTAGAAGGTCCGTTCTATGTGTTCGTCTGGAAATATGGGCGCCGAGGACCTGAGCCGCCTCATCTTCTCCTCGGGGGTCAGCTCCTGGGCCCACTCGGGCACCGCATAACTCTTCTTCTTCTTCCTCGTTCTCACCGGGACAACGAGGCAGGACGGAGCCGCTGCGAGGCGCAGCACGGACCCCGCAGCCTAAGGGAGGGAACCAACACCTCGATTGACACCTCCCAGGCGCGAGCACACACCACCTGTCCCGCGCCCCTCCGCGCACTCCCTCGCCCCTGAGTGCCCCGTATTCCTCATCCCACGGTCTCCTGAATACCCCGCAGCCCCTCACCGCGCTCCCCCAGAGCCCGACCTGCCCCAGGAGCCGCGGCGCCCTCAGGCCCAGCCCCGCCGCCATGGCGGCCGCCATCTTGTCCCGCCGCGGGGGCTGCCGGGAAGGTGGAGGAGCCGGACCCGATGCGGGTGGGCGTGGTTTGTGCCGGGGAGGGCGGGGTCTTTGCCCGCTCTGTGGGCGTGGCCAATGCGGGGGGGGTGTCGCGCGCGGGAGGGGGAGGGGCCGGCGCGAGCACGCGGGCGCGCGCGCGGGAGGGCGAGTGGAAAATTCCATCGGCTGCGGAGCTTCCCGAGGGGGGCGGGGCCAAGGGAAGCTCCGCCCCCTCGCCCGTGCGGGGTGGGGGGGGTGAACCCCCCTCGTGCCTGGCGCAGTGCGGGGGTGGGCTGGAGACCGAAAAAGGGTGATCCCCCACCCAGGACCCCCACCCTGCCCCACGGCGGGGGGTGCTGCGGGTGTAGGACCACCCACCCCGGACCCGCAGTACCTTCCCCAGACCCGCAGAGCCCCCCCCAGACACGCAGAGCCACTCCCAAGACCTACAGAGACACCCCCCCAGACATGCAGAGTTCCCCCAGAGCCCCCCCAAACTCTGCAGCCCCCCCCTCCAGCAGCTCAGGGGTTGGTACCCGATCATTTTGGAGTCTCCCGCCACAGCAGCCCCTGGGGATGGTGGTGGAGGGGGGGCTCGGGGGCAGGGGTCCCTCTGAATGACCCCAGGGCATGTCGGGCTGCAGCGTTTCTGGGGGCTGTGGGCAAGGCGGGGGATGCTCAGGGGGAAGGATCCCTCCAAAGCTCCCTGGGGCAGCCCAGCATGCAGCACCCCCAGGATGCTGCCGGTGGAGGGGGGCTCAGGGGCTGGGGTCCATCCAAATGACCCTGGGACAGCGCAGAGCACTGGGATGCAGCAGCCCCGGGATGCTGGTGGTGGAGAGGGTCTCGTGTTAGGCCTCTGTCCTAATGACCCTAGGACAGCCCAGACCTCTGGGATTCAGCATTCCCAGGATGCTGCTGCTGGTGGAGAGGGGCTCAGGGGGCAGGGGACCCTCCAAATTGTCCCCGTGGGCACAGCACCCACGCCCTAACACAAACCAACGTATCCCACACCCTCTCCCCTCGAAATTCCATCCCTGGGAGCCGCAGGGACACCCTGGGGATGCTCATCACCCGCCCACGGCCCATCCTTGCAGAGCCACGGGCGGCCCCAGCACGGGGGGTGTGGGGTGTGAAGCCCGGGGGGGGCCTGGGGTGCTCATCGGGAGGCTCCAGCTCCGCCTGGCCCCGCTCCCAGTTTGCTTTGGGGACTGTTGATCTTGGCTCCGGGGCCGCGTTGCTCCATCGGACAGCTGGTTAATGTGTAGTGACGGCCCCGCTGCGCCCCAGACCGTTGATCCCGGCCCACGCTGTTATCTGTGCCGCGGGATGAGCCGGGAGCGGCCGGGCCGGGGGGAGGTGAGGGAGGGGGCTGGGCACCCGCGGGGGCAGCGGGGATCGCATCTGCATCCCAAAATTCGGAGTGATGCTCCTGCGAGGGTCAAAAACAGGAGAGGGGGGGGATGCTCCCTGCTGGGCCACGGTGGGAAAACTGGGCCTGGTTTACCCTCTGGATAACAGGGATGAAGCCCCGGGGCTGTGGGGCCAGTCCTGCAGCAAAAGGGGCTGAGTCACTGGTGCCCCACGGCCCTGGTGCTTTCCCACGGCTCGGGACTCGTGGGGCTGGATTTTCCCAGCCCTTCCGGCTCTCCCGGCTGCAGAGCTGCCCTGTGGTGCCATCCCAGCCGGTTCCACCTCTGTGGGCAGCGTTTCAGGGCTCTGGAACCCCCACGGAGCCGCATCCATTGAAGAGCACGGTCTGGGAGAATCCCTGCCTGCAGTTTGGGATGGACCTCACCCTCTAGGGATGCCACTTGATGGTGCCCCCAGCCCACAGCCACCACTCTGCAAGGGATTTGTCCCCTGGGAGAGCGGGATCAGGGCTGGGATCGGGACTCTGAGCTGTCCCTGCCACCTCCAGACAGGGCCTTGGCCACATTTACCTCCATCCATCCATCCTTGTGCAACTCGTCCCAGGTACCTGGCGAGGCAGGAGGTGACAGGAAGAGCCTCACACACACACACAGCCACGCAGGGAGAGGGAGAATCCAGGCAGAAACACCTCCCAACCCCCTGGGAATGTCCCACAGAGCAAGAGGCCCCCAGAGAGAGCCACTTTGCTGCACTGCTGTCCCCGTGCTCCCAAATACCAGAGATTCCAGCCCTAAGCCTCCTCCGGCCCAGACCTGCGTGGCAGGATTAGCCGGTGCCCTCCAGCTGCTCCTGCTCCGGGCAGCGACCAGGGACGGCCAACACTCCAGCAAAAGAGAGAAGAAAAGAAAAGCCTCCCTAGGGAATTTTCTTTTTCCTTTCTTCCCCTTTTTTTGCCCTGGTTGGAAGGGAGCACTGACAGGGGTCGGTGGCCGTGGGGTAATTACAGCTCCTGCCTTCCACCCTGTTTGTCCCCAGGCCCTGCCAGGTCTGGAGCTGCAGGAGGACCCGGTTTGGTCAGGACACGGTGGAGGGGGAGGCGGCTTCTCCTTGGCTCTCTCCATGGAGCCTCAGTCTTCCTTCCCTCTTTCTCTCTGGATTCTTGCTGACAGCAGCATCTGTCATCTGGCAGTACCTCCAGCAGCCACAGAAAGTGCCCGGGGCCCTTTGCTGAGCACAAGGCCTGTGGCCACTGGGCCACTAAGCCCCCTCACGTGCCAGGAGAGCACCCAGTGACCCCGTGGCCACCGGGGATGGGAATTAAAGCTCAGAGGAGACAATCCCCTGCGCTTCCCCGCCGCGGTGCCAAGCAGCTCTGCTCCAGGAATAGGTTTATCCTGCCCCTGACCTCAGCGTGGCTCTGCCCGTGGCCAGAGCTGTGCCAGAGCAGCCAATGGAGAGGGTTCTGGGGCTGGCAAAATCCCTCAGCACGACTGTGGCACGGCTGGGCTTCGTCCCTCCGGCCATTCGTGGTGGCCTCGGGGTGTCCCCAGCGTGGCACGGCCGGGCCGAGCCCCGTCCCATCCATCCTGGCTGCAAACCCCTGATGGAAAGTGAGGGAGGAGACAGGACTTTCTCTCCAGCATCCAGCTGGGGTTCACTTCCAAAACCAGCCATGGAACATCCCCCTGGCCGGGTGCCAGCACCGGTGTCCCCTCCCAGGCCCCACGTCCCACAGTGTGCCCGTGCCCGTGTCCGTGTGTCCTGCTGGGGCGCTGGGAGGTGTGGGGATGGAGGAGGGCGGCAGCTGCCCCAGCCCCCCGCGCCGCTCCAGCTGTTTCCAGCTGTTCCCTTGTCTCCCTTTCCCTCCCCGGGGCTGTGCAGCACAATGCAGCCCCGCAGCAGCCCCAGATGAACCCGGGCTCGGCAGCGCTCGGTTTGTGTAACGATGTGCTGAGAGCTGTCTGTACTTTCTCCCTGCCCCAGTTCGTGCCGCTGGCTCCTCCAGGTCTCAGTGAATCCCTGCTCCCTCCCTTGAGGAATTATTTTTTTTTGGGGGGGTGCAGGGGGAAGAATAAAAAAAAAGATCGATCCCAGTTTCCAGTGGTGGAAGGCAAGGAGCGATTTCCAGCCTCCGCCAGCTGCGCTTCCTCCTTCAAACAGGAGTTTGTGGCACCCCCAAAGCCATGGCACACTCGCTTTTGGGAGATTAATCAGATCCATGTTTAATGCCACATGGAGCCAGAGCATGAGTTCCTTGATCCGAAATCCAGAGCAGGGCTGGGCTGTGACCCCGAAAAGTGGGGTGCGGGGAAAGCTGTGACACGGGGACCCCCGGTTAATGAGGTGCACCGGGCCACCCCCTTGGATCCACGAGCACCAGGACCCCCCATTAACGGGGAGAGCACTGGGACTGCCCGTTAATAGGGTGCACTGTGCCATTCCCGGACCCGTGAGCACCAGAACTCCCATATTAAGGGGGTGAGCACCAGGACCCCCATTAAGGGGCGAGCACCAGGACCCCCATTAAGGGGTGAGCACCAGGACCCCCATTAAGGGGGTGAGCACCAGGACCCCCATTAAGGGGGTGAGCACCAGGACCCCCATTAAGGAGGTGAGCACCAGGACCCCCATTAAGGGGGTGAGCACCAGGACCCCCATTAAGAGGTGAGCACCAGGACTCCCAGTTAAGGGGGTGAGCACCAGGACCCCCATTAAGGGGTGAGCACCAGGACTCCCATTAAGGGGTGAGCACCAGAACCCCCATTAAGGGGTGAGCACCAGGACCCTCATTAAGGGGTGAGCACCAGGACCCCCATTAAGGGGTGAGCACCAGGACCCTCATTAAGGGGTGAGCACCAGGACCCCCATTAACGGGTGAGCACCAGAACCCCCATTAAGGGGTGAGCACCAGGACTCCCATTAAGGGGGTGAGCATCAGGACCCCCATTAAGGGGTGAGCACCAGGACCCCCATTAAGGGGTGAGCACCAGAACCCCCCATCGCCCCCCTCTCCCTTCCCCATCGCCATGAGGGCCTGAGGGGGCAGGGGGCGTGGCCAGACGGGGATGGGCGTGCCCTCAAGGGGAGGCGTGTCCACTGCGGGGTGGGCGTGTCCAAACGGGGGCGCGTCTCTGCGCACGCGCACTCCCGCCCTTCTCCCGCCTCTTACGCAACGCGCTCGGGCCCCGCCGCTCTCCGCCCGCCCCCGCCGCGCGCGCTACGTGCGCGGCCGCGTGGCGCCGCCGCGCGCACGCGCACGCGCCTCCCGCCCCCTCCCCCGCCCCCTTCCCTCACACCGGGGCCGCCTCGTGCCGGGAGCGCGCGCCCGCCCCCGCCTCCTCCCTCCTCCTCCTCCTCCTCCTCCTCCTCCCGCTCCTCCTCATCCTCCTCTTCTTCTTCATCATCATCATCATCATCCTCCTCCTCCGCTCCCGCCGCTCCTCCCTTCCCGCTCTTCTCTCGCTCGCTCGCTCTCTCTCCGTGTGCCGCCGCGTCGCCCTTCCCGCCCCGCCGTTCTTCCTCCCCCTCCCCACCCCTCCTCCTCCTCCTCTGCCCTCTCCTCCCCGTCCCCTCCCCGCGCCGCCGCCGCCGCCGCCGCCCTGCCGGGGCCCAGCCCCACACCCCCGCGCTCCCGCCATGCCGGAGAAGCGGCCGT